GCGGGCAGGGACTCAGCGCCCGGGGAGCCAGCTAGCGACCCAGTGACCCGAGCCTGGCTCCAGGACCCCTGCCTGCACCCGCAGCCGCACCCAGCCCTGCACCAGCCCCTACAGCGCGGGGCTGCGCACCACACCCGCAGGCTCGCTGGAGTCTCTGGGCAGTTGTGCAGCGGGGAGGGGGAAGGTGGGGGGGCCTGCCTGGGGTCACGGGGAAATTGTCCGGGGTTAGCTGATGGCCTGTGGGGATACGTGGTGGGACAATCTGTGGCTACGTGGGCCGTCGGGGTTGCCTTAGGATGTCGGGAATCGGTGGAGCGCGGGTGGGGCCACAGGAGGGCCGACTTGTCCTGTGGGGACATCTAGGGAGATGGGGTCCCTCTCGATGTTGTGGGAGAAAGACTTTGGAGTCCGTGGTTAGCGGGGACGTGTCGGAGACCTGCAGGGATATTCACGGGGCGTTCGGAGGTGTCGGGGAATGTTGCGTTCAAACACCCACGTCCAGCGATACGGTGGGGGCCCACGCACGGACAGACCCCCACATGGCCTGGGGTGGTGGGAGAGTAGGTGCCCTCGGGAACTGGGGAGGGGATGTTCGGGCTCTCCAGCCGTCGGCGGCCGTGGGAGTCTGCCGAGCCTCAGGTTCGGCTCTGACCTGTCCTTTTCGCCCGCGCAGGCCGCGGCCTTTCCCCGCCCGCGGGCCGCCCCGCCAGGCCCCTGCTGGACCGGCTGGACGCGCGGGCCCGGACAGAAGATGGTGCAGAAGAAAACAACCGAACTTCAGGGCTTTCACCGTTCGTTCAAGGTGAGGGCCAGGGTCGGTTTGGGGGGTTCGCCAGGCTAGACCACGGGGTTGGGGGCGGAGGAGGTGGCAGAGCCGGCCCCCAGGATTCCCTCAGGGTTCAAGGAGGTCTGTCCCCCTCCTTTCCCCAACCCGCCCTGCGTTGCCGGCTGCCCAAGCTGGATGTGTGCCTATGAGGGTGATCTTTGGGCCACAGTCCTAACCAGTGCCGTGGGGCCTGTCGCGTCCTTCCTCTCCATATCCCAGGCAGAGTTGGGAACCCCTCTCTCTCTGGGGAGTTGCGGGGGGGCCCGGGGGAGGGCCTGATGGTGTGTCCCTTGCAAACCTCAGCCAGGTGTGCACCTATAGGGAGCAGTTATCAGACCACAGTCCTGTTCCGGGTGCCATGGAGCCTGTGGGGTCTCTCCTCCAGGTATTTCAGGCAGCTCTGGGAGGCCTGCATGCCCTCCTAGGTGGTTTGCAGGCTGGGAGAATGGATTAGATGCTCCCCTATCCTGCACCCCCCAGACACCTCAGGCCAGAGCACTATTTCCTGTTGGAGTTGGAAAGTTTATGCTGTGGCCCACAGTGTCTGTGGCACTGAGTTTTAGTCTCCTGTGTAAATCTGATGGTAAATCTGGGGGTACAGGCAGGTGCTGGGCAGGGGCCCCAAGGGGCCTGGCCCAGAGGACACAGTGATGTCAGCGGCCGCCCCACCCCACCGACCCGATTATGTAATGGTTTCCCTGGGCCTCCTTGGGCAAGGACCTGTTGCCCTGTAGAGAAGGCAGGACTTGGGTGTGCGCTTGTGCGTGTGTGTGTGTGTGTGTGTGTGTGTGTGTGTGTCTACTGGCGGGCTGTGCACCAGGATGGGAGGAGCCAGCTGAGACTGTTTGGGTTAGAATTCCCAGGCCAGTCCAGCCAGCTTCCCGAGCCAGCTGCCCCACCCCTACCCACTCGCCTGTCATCCTTACCCCCCTCCACACACACACACTCAGGGCAGCCGCAGCCCTGGCACGAAGTATTGGGGGCTGGGTGGGAGGGGTGGACCTGAGACATCACCAGTGATGGTCTTTCCCCTCCTGGGGCTGGGTGGGAGCCAAGGCAGGGTCAGCGTGAGGGGCTAGCTGGCTGCCAAAGCAAACTTGAACTTTCTGGATGGTTCCAGCTGCTTCCTGCCAAGGCCTGCTGACTGGAGGACCACAGCCAGCCCCAGCCTGCCCTCCCACTCTGCTCAGGACTGCAGGTCGGCCACTGCAGGCTGTTGGACAGTCCTGCGCCAAAGTGGGACACCAGGAGTCCAAGGGAATGTGAGGGCCCTAGACAGGGAGTCCTGGTCCTGGTGGCCAGGCAGGGCGAGCTGCTCCAGGAGTCTCACGTCAGTTGAGTTGCTCCCTCTGCTAGGGCTGCCCTCCTGGAATACTCCTCCTGCTTCCTGGCAGCAGGATGGTGCGGGGCTCACCTGCAGGTGTCTTTGATGTGATGCGTCCTCTCCACTTAAAGACAGGACGGTGGAGGCCCAGAAGGAGCCAGTGGCCGCCTGCTCGTGGTAACTAGAACACAGGCAGCCATGCTTAGTGTCCTTGTACCTATGTGGCTCTGACTGCCCTGTCTATCTCCAGGGTTTAGTTCTTGGGCACCCAGGCCCTCTCTCACTCAGTCCCACTGGTTGGGCACCGCTTCCATCCATGAATGACGGTCAGGCTGTGGTCCCTAGACGCACGTAAGGTCGCCCTGTAGTGGGCCTCATCTAGAGCAAAACCAGCTCAAAAGGATTCTGGGTTCAGAGCCATTGCTGACCCCAGAGCATCTACCTTCCCTCCTGGTCACCTGCTTAAGTGGGATCTCTCCCAGGTGGAAGCCACGCAGCCCTCTGGCTGGGGCCTGTCATAAGGGCTGTGTGCCTGACTCCCACTGAGGCAGAAGATGGCTGGAGCGCCCCTTCCTCCCCCCTCCGTGCTGCCCTGCTCTCCTAGCAACTGTCAGCGGGGTGGGAGGGGAGACCAGGAAGGTCAGAGCCCTCTGACCTCTGCCTGCCCCTCTGCAGCTGGCTGGGCTTCTGTGCCTCCAGGAATCTGTTCTGGGCCCCGTGGGGTCTCCCTAGGGCTTTCTCTGACTTCCTTCCCTGCTGGATGAGACACCCGTCGCAGCTGTCCCATGGCTTGGAGAGGAGCAGACTCAGTCATTAGTGTGTACAGGGCCTCCATGGCCCGCCCTCTAGGATGGGGACGCCAGCTTCTAAAGAAACTTGATTTGACCTCAGTTTCCCAGTTTTAGGGACCTTATACTGGGTCATCTGCTCTGCAAAAAAGGTATTCTAGCTCCCTCTTACTTGCAGCGGAGGAAAACATTTCCCCAGTCCCTGGCTTCCTTTGCTCTCTGGTCAGGACCTCATGCCTTCCCCCTGGGCCTGGAGGCCCTCCCACAAAGGCTCTGAGGGGTTCCCCCAGCCCTTTCGATACTGGGGCTACAGTGGGACAATGGAGACTGGCCTGGGCAGAGAGCAGCCTGTGTTCATGTGTTTCACTGGTGCCTGTGGATGGCCCCTGGGAGTCACCAGGAGAGTCACCACTAGGATTTCTGGGAGCAGACAGGTCAGGTTGGAGAAGAAGGGGTGGTTGCTTCAGAATGCACAGAGCATGATGGGAAGGGGAGTGACAGGGAGCAGAGGATGGTGTGGCAGTGGGACCAAGAGAATGGTCCAGGGGCAGAAGGGGCCATGGCAGAGACAGACAAGGGGAGGGTGGTGGTGCCCTGTCTCTCAGAGGGGAAACTGAGGCCAGAAAGACTTTCTCAGGTAGGGCAGAGCCTAGCAGACCATGGGAAAGCAGGCAGGGCTGCCTTGGCTGGGGCCCACCTGGGGAACCAGTGAGTCACCCCCTCCCACTGTCTGTCCTGCGCCTTTCATCTCCACGCTAGACAAGAGGTCACCTGGGCTGTGAGGCTCACCCCATTCTGCAAGTGAGGAAGCTGAGTTGCAGGGTGTGCCTGGGTCCTGTGGTGACTCAGCCCTGGCATCAGAGACAGCCCCGTACCCATTCTGCACTCCCGGAGGCCCCACAGGGCTGCCCCCTGGAGACAGGGCCTGATCACTCTCCTCTCTCCCCTGCAGGGGCAGAATCCTTTCGAGCTGGCCTTCTCTCTAGACCAGGCCCACCACGGGGACACTGACTTCAGTCTGGAGTGCACAGCTCGCCCTGGTGAGAGACTGGCAGGGAGGGCACGTATTCCAGAGCTGGGAGCCGGGGGGAGACTCACCCAGGTCTCCTTCACAGACATGCCTGTGAGCCAGCCTATCGACATCCCAGACGCCAGGAAGAGGAGCAAGAAAAAGAAGCGGTGCCGGGCCACCGACAGCTTCTCAGGCAGGTTTGAAGGTGAGTGGAAGCAGTGGAGAGATGGAAGTTGGCGAGGAGGTGGTGCTTGCCCAGGGTACTCTCACTGAGAGCCTGTCCTACTCCCCAGATGTCTACCAGCTGCAGGAAGATGTGCTGGGGGAGGGTGCCCATGCCCGGGTGCAGACCTGTGTCAACCTCATCACCAACCAGGAGTATGCAGTCAAGGTGAGCAGCTTGGGGACCCGGCTCTGGCAGGGTGGCAGGAGGGGAAGCTGCCATTCGAGCTCCCTGATGGCAGCTGGGGAAAACCAGTGTCTAAAAATGGCCCAGGGCTGGTGACTCAGGCCACCTCTGGGAATCCAGGTCAGCCTGGGCTGAGCCCAAGTTTGGGCAGGAAGTGGCAGCCCCCTGGAAAGGTGACTGAGAACCTGGTGTCTTGAGGAGCCACTGCGAGCGAGGGCTTTGGTCAGAACTGATGCGGGCCTTTTGAGTGACTTGAGCGGGTCCCAGGCCTCTGAGGATGCTAGTCTAGACGCAAGGGCTTCTCTGTCTTGGTTTCAGAGACTTAGAGGTGACCTGGTACTAGATATTCAAGAGGGGGTCTTCATTTGGGGAGGCCACAGCAGGCCTGGAGAACATCCTGCATGCTCCCCATGCAACATATGACCCAGCAGCCTGGGAGCCATGAGCCATAGGCCCTATATCTGAGAAACCTTCCAGGCTTCCCTGATGACCCTGCATCTAGGTTGGGCGTGGTCACGGGCTGCTCCCTACCCAGGATGAAAAGCCAGGTGCTCCCAGGCAAGCCGGCTGGCTGGCTGGCAGCCTTTGTTACTGGTGGCAATCCAGGCCACTCCCCTTCCTCTGGTATGCCTGCTGATGAGGTGACGGGGAGGAGGCAGAGGAGAGCTGGCCATCCTACTTAAGTAGGGTGGTTCACTTTGGGAGGTGAAGGGAGACGATCAGCTATGGCAGTGACAAAGGCAGCTCTGGCCACTGCCTCTGGGAACCTGAAGATGGGTTGGAGTGATGGTACAGAACTGCAGACTTGGCATCCAGCACTTTCTGTACCTTGGGCTCTCTTCTGAGGGCCCACAACCCTGCTGGCAATCTGGCTTCCCACAAGTGCCAGATGAGGGAACTGCAATTACCTCATAGCCCCTTCCCCCATGAGCTGCACTCCTTCATGAAGTTGGGGCTCCAGATAGATTCCCAGGGGAACAGGGTGGAGTTTTGTTTGATGCAAAAGGCCGGGCTGCTCATGTTGCCTCAGAAGGCCCCAGGACCTGTGGTCTTTCTACTCCTTTCTGGGACAGTGCACAAGAGTGGCCAGACTGGCTGGCGGGACACACGACGTCCCCCTCTAAGTCCCTGTCTAAGTAGTAGACAGGGAGCCCTTGGCCCAAGTTACGACCCAGCCTACCCACTGCCCAGTGGCCTGAGAGTCCAGTGTGGAAGAGCTGGCGGTCACCTTTCCTCCCCATCTCTCTGAGCCAAAGTGGCTGAGGAAGCACTGTACAGTGAACCCAGAACCCACCTGTTCTGAGTGCCCAGGGGTTGGGGGCAGAGGTGTGGGCTGGCTTCCTGAGGCTCTGGCATATGCCCACCATGGGCCGTGTCACAGTCTGACCTGAAGTAGACCATGGCTTGTCAGACAGGGACATCTGCCCAGACTGACATGGAACTGGGATGGCAGACTTGGGTTCAAGGCAAGTGGGTATGTGGGGCTTGGCTAGCAGCCAGGTGTGCTGGGTGGTGTTAGGGCCACTCCAGTGACCACCAGCCTTCTGGTCAGGAAAGGGAGGTGGCCCATCTGAGGGAGCCTGGTGCTCTGGGATGTTTTACATTTATGTGTCTTTCTAGGCCCCAGATACGCCTCCAGAATCTGGGTAGGAGGATGAAGGTCCTGACGTTCCTTCTCTCACCCTTCCTGTTCTATTCACCCATCCCCAGGTGCTCCTGATACATCCCCCCACTTGTGTGGTGTCACAGTTCTGACTTCTAGAAAGTCCTTCTAGCATGTGCTCAACGTGCCACGGTCTAGTACAGTCTTCAGGAATGGTGCAGGGAGTTTCTGGTGGGGGCTTCCCACACCGGGGAGTGTCTGACTGACCTAGATAGTGTGTTTCCCACCCCCACCCCATTTCAGATCATCGAGAAGCAGCCGGGCCACATTCGAAGTAGGGTGTTTCGGGAGGTGGAGATGCTGTATCAGTGCCAGGGACACAGGTAATGTGACCTGCCCTTGCCTCAGTACCAGCTAGTGAAGGAGTCGGCCTCACCACCCCAGCAAGCGTTCAGTGAGCACCCACTGTGTGCCGGGCTCTGTGCTGTGGGCCGGTGACTGGTGGCAGGAGGCCCGTGGTCCCAAGGCCGACCTCCCTGTGGGCAGGTGGGGTGGAGGGGGTGGGAGGGAGCCCTCCTCGCCTGGGCTGTGGGCGGTCAGCAACCCCAAAAAGCCTTACTCCTCTCGTACTTCACCCCCTGACCTCAGGAATGTTCTGGAACTGATCGAGTTCTTCGAGGAAGAGGACCGCTTCTATCTGGTGTTTGAGAAGATGCGGGGCGGTATGTGGAGCCTGGGAGACAACTCAGCCGAACCCTAATGGGGGGTCAGGGGCACCCAGAAGGCCTTCCGGAGGGTCTTGAGTGTCGGAAGGGGCTGGGGGTGGAGCACCCTGCCCACACTGAAGTCTGGCTCCCAGGAGACGGGAGTCAGCGCTCCCCTGCCTGTGTGGGGCTGGGTGCAGGGGTGTCGTGGGTGCCCCTAACAGTGTCCACCTCGCCGCCAGGCTCCATTCTGAGCCACATCCACAAGCGGCGGCACTTTAACGAGCTGGAGGCCAGCGTGGTCGTGCAGGACGTGGCCAGCGCCTTGGACTTCCTCCACAACAAAGGTGGGTGCCCCTGCTCCCTGCTCACGGCCCACGGGCCTTGACTGCAGCCGGGCGGCCCAGGCCTCCTGGGGCGTGCCCCAGCCCCCGCACTTTCTCACTCAGGGGTTTCTCCACAGGCATCGCCCACAGGGACCTAAAGCCGGAAAACATCCTCTGCGAGCACCCCAACCAGGTGAGGGGCCCTGCCCGGGTGGCGCCTCTCCAGTGTGCTGAGGCAGGCGGCCCCTCCAGGCTGGACCAGGACCCATCTCTCTGCCCCCCAGGTCTCCCCTGTGAAAATCTGCGACTTTGACCTCGGCAGCGGCATCAAGCTCAACGGAGACTGTTCCCCGATCTCCACCCCGGAGCTGCTCACCCCGGTGAGGGCTCCGCTGGGCCAGAGGCGCCCAGGCGGCGCGCAGGGCTTGCTGGGCTGGAACTGAGGGGCCGGACCCTGGCT